ATCCTCCTTGATAGTTAATGTGCCACACTAGGTGCCAAGTAGATACAGACCAGGTGTGGCTTGTTGACTGTCAGGGAGGATCAAACATCTGCAGGACACTGGCCCCGGAGGACCAAATTTAAGAACCTAGGGGCTAGAAGAGTAGATTTGTTTCTCCCCACAGAATACGGGGGAGAGTAAATGTAACACGTCTTTTGCCAGCGTTGTTTGCATGTCCAAATCACATGCAGCTTCTTCCCACCAAGACACTTGATTTCAGAGCTGTCGTAATCCATGGATACATTAATGAACAATACTCAGAAGATTTACACGCTGTTTATTTCTCTGCACTGTAAACTCTCATCTCATTTGTTCTCCTGTTTTCAGTCTTCCTAATGTGAGAGTGAGAGAGTGTCAAACATGTCCTATTTGGCAACCAAAACACCTAAATAACTGATCAACTAGTCAGACACGTCGTCATCTTAAATTGTTAAAAAACATAATGTAGTCTGGGGAGGCCATTCAAGCAAATTGTGAAACCTTGATATGTTTCTAAATGCAATATATCAATTTACCCCTCTGGCCATGTAGAATATTTAATTTTATTTCTTATTCTGGAAGATAGTAGTAGTAGTAGTAGTAGTAGTAATACATTTATGAATGTATTCAAGTTTATTAATATTTTTTGGCACCTCTTTTTTACTGCTGCAGTTTACTTCAATGTTTAAGTCATAATATCATAATGAAATAATGCCAAAATGATGTGCCCTTGATTGCAGTTATATCACAATTTTAGGCCTCCAATATGACTGATTTCTCTTGAATGTAAACTAAAAAAGGTCCTTGGGTCTCACCTTATCTTGTAAATTAGGCAGCAAATTTAAGGTTTAAGTTTTTTAGTATAAACTGCAACACACTGGATTATTTTATTTTTTTGCTTTTTACTGCAGTTTTGTGTGTTTAACATGTGAATTAAATAAACAAACCAAAAACTGGACTGATTTTCTTTTTTTCCTTCGAATTACTGAGAAGTACATTAAGACTTAAACCAAGCCTATAACAGGACTATTTTTGAACAACCTTTTAGAGTCTGTACAGCAGTTTCTGCAAGCTTTTTTCAAGAAGCATATAGTGCCTTTTATACACCAGACTTTAATGTTCACTTGGCAGGAAGGAACTAATGTACAGCAAAATGGATCATGTATCTGACTATACTTTTCTGAACATTAAGAAAATGTCTGTAGTGTTGAGTAGGTCCATCGACTTTTGGTTGTAAAAGACTGATTTTTTTAGTTATAATAAACATTTTCTGCAATAAGATAAAAGATCTAAAATGCATTATGTGTTCCTCCTTCACAAGTTGGGCTCCTGGGAGCTGAATGAAAGTCATTTATTTTTTGTGCAGATGGAGGATGAGTTATACCAAAATGCAGTCTGAAAATATGAATCTGATATATGTCAAATTTCACACTGCCTTGCAGAAAAATAATGTGCATTTGTGCCAAAACCTGAGGCTAGAAATACACATTAGACGGACCATTTCTCTACACAACAAATGTTCATTGCAAATCCGATCTATTTAAAATCTTAAAAAAAACATTGAATTTGAAAATATTCTAAATGCAATATTACGGAAATATCCTTGTGTCTCTCATGGGTCATTATTGTGTGTGTAAAGCATTGTGCAGGTCCTTAAAGGTCTTAAATCATTTATGTATTTTTTTGTGGGGAAGAAGTTGGAGAAAGTTACAGCACATGAATGTTTTTTGAAATCCTCGTCCTTGAGGCAGAATAGGGTACTGAGAGCTACTTCACTGCAGTCACCTGGCGGTCTCTAATTAGAACAGAAACCAGTTGGATCCTTAAGACTGGGACTGAACATCCAGCTTTAACCAGTCATGCGTGAGAATTGTCTGAAAGACCGATACACTTTTTAAACCCAGTTGTAGTTGTTGTTGTTATTATTATTACGAGTATTAATAAAGGAGGAGGGATGGGGGAGACTACTGGGTTAATACTATTCAGTTGCAACTGGATTACTGCACATTAACATAGCACAGTGTGAGCAGCCAATGTGATTTTCTGCTGATTTCATTAAACATACATTAATTATGTATGCCTAATTTATTGGTCTACATTATCAACAGGTTTATCTTTCAGTGATTACTGTTTAATTGGTGATTAGCTGATAACTGGGAGCATTGATGCTGACATTATTTTGCTTTTGAAATCATCTTTGCTCAAGCAGACCTTTAAGCACCCCACAATACCTGCACTGAACACGCAGCATCTCATTAATTAACAGAACACAGAAAACTGAATTAATAGTAAACAACGGTAAGGACGGTAAAAATAACTTAGTAAACAATAAGTGTGCTGGACTGTTCTGTATTGCAGTTGCAATAATGAGTTGACCTGTATTTCTGCTAGATTGCTGACAATCAAATTAACGTTCTGGTAAATTTTTTAACACTTTCTCTTTATTTCTTATATCATCTGCATTTGTAAGTAAAATGATCAGAGAGCTCAAAGTGGTATTTTAGAGCCTTCAGGTCATGGCTGGGCATTTGCAAAAGCACACAATATTAAATAAAATTTTAGTCCCTGTAAAGACTTCCAGCTGGCCTGTGTGTAGGCAGGAATCAGAGTATAGTGGGGATGGAAACAGCACAGAGAACAGAAGAGGTTTTGAGTCAAGATTTATGAGAGGATGCTTTTCCTTCCCTGACGTGGTTGAAGAGAAAGTTCCTGATTCAGGAAGCAGCAGCACATGAAATGATTACTCATACCCACTCTGGTCTGTGGAAATGGCTGGAACTGTTGATCTGAGGATATAGGATTGTGATTGTTTTTAAAAAAATATAATTTCAGTCGTGCTCTTTGTAATGGTTTTTACAGCAACTTCAATCCTAGTTTCAACATCAGTGTCAGCTCTTAAATGGATGGAATATAATTTATACTCCACAAAGCAGGGGAACACTTAAATACATTTAAGATTCATGGAAAATTTAGCAAACGTGGAAATGAGCAGTCTTGCTGAGGAAACAAAGGAGATAGACGTTTTATGTTTGGGTTGCGAATCTCAATATGTTCAGTCACCAATGTACAGGTTGCCCTTGGCAACCACTGGATGCATTGTCCTTATTGTCTGACACCTCATCACCTCTCCACACACCTGAAGACAAAGATATTGAAAAACAGAGAAAAGGAAGGTGGGGATTGTGCTTAATCCTTAATTTGGTGATCAATAAGATTTTGGTGCATGGGTAGCAGCTTATGTCAATGACTGTTTAAGCCAACTTAGGAGCATTTCCATGCAGATACAATTGCAGTATGGATGAATGAATGATTTTGTTTGGGATAAAAAGATGAGCATTTTGGTTGTCCTACAGTTGCATTTCTTTTACAGCTTATTTCATTTGAATGGATATTTGTTTTTCAGTTTGAAAAAGCTATGTTAATAGTGAACTAACAATACACATTGTTTTGTTGTTGTTGTTTTTACAGAATTTCAAACCCTTGCCAAAACTGTACAACTTCCATCTGTTATTTCTTTTAGGAATTTGGATGTCAGTGGGCATGCATTAAAAGGGCATTTGGAGATGAATTTAGAGTGGATTAGTGCTAAGTTAGTTGTAGAAGTTGACATCATTGTGCCTCTTTACGTAGATAGTAATCATTCACTCAAATGAAGTGAAAAACCAATTAGTTGGTAGTAATGGAGACTTCACTTCTTCTAAATGTTTTTTTTTGCGAACACTGATGTTTCTACAGACCAAAGTGGTCACACTGGTTTGAGCTTTCTGTACCCTTTCATTATGCCCCTCAGCACTATATAATTATAGATCATATAACAGAAAACTGAATACAACACTTTAAAGCACCTCTCATTCACAGATTATAGCCCTTCAACTAAAAATAAACACACAAGCTGCAATTGCAAATCATTTTTGAGGTACATCCAGGTAGCTTTTCCACGCCATGAATTACCTTTTCAGCTCTTTGCCAAATTGTCAGTAATGACTGACAAATATGAATTAGTTTCACTCTGAAGAGACGGCACTTAAGCAGTGACAGTTTGATGAGCAGCCGATGCTCGTTTATCATCACACTCTTCTTCACTTGATGCTGGAAACAACGATAAACCATGTAACGTGGCATGACCCCCGCCGGGAGGAACACATGAAGGACAGCTTAGCATGTCTTTCATGCGTCGTAACTCTCGCAGGATGTATCACAGTACTCCGCCTGTACCTAAAACAAGCAAGAGGTACAAAAGAAAAAGGTGCGTATGTGTTTGTGTTAATGAGAGGTTGGATCCAAGTTTTCACTTTGGAGAGGAATTCCCTCATGTGCGTGTGATCCTGGAAATGCAAACGACAGTAGCGAGTGCATATTCATGGATGGGAAATGGAGTCCTCATCCGTCCTAATAAAACTGTAGGGTGCCTTCTGTGGATTTCTTTCAGCATCTCTACACTGAGTAGGAGGGACTGTCTGGTTTGGAAGGTGGATTATACATGTTGCTAAAGCTTGGGGGGAAGAAAATGTGAATTAATAAATAATGATAAAGGCTTTTCTTAAATGTATGATTAGCACGTCTTGCTTGCAGTTATCTTTATACAGAGTGCTGAACCTTTGTGAAACCGCTTCCCACCACAGCACATCGGCTCAGAGAATGATGAGCGTGGAGGGGGAGGAAGAGAGGAAGGGGGGGAGGTAAAAGTGCAGAGAGACAGAGAGATTGTCAAGAAAACACCAAGGGATGGCTGCACAAAAAAGCCTCAAAGTGGAAGTTGTGACTCTGGGATAGTGAGACTCAGAGGTAAGTGTTCAGGCTTGGCGCTACAAAGGGCAGTATAGTGCTTACTTTGATTGAATCAATTGCTCTGTGTAAGTAGCTGCTGGTGCCGGCCTCCCCAGGGTGACAGAGAGGTCTGCGGAGAGTGAACCAATCCAGCCATCCATGGCCAGAGAACAGGGAGGATTAACAGAGCAATGCATCATAGCTGTAGCAACCAGTGATGTGTAGCAGACTGTATTTATTGACTCATTGACTGTATTGATTGTCTCAATTGATGAAAAGTCCAGAGACAAAAGACAGACGCACAGCGAGTTATGCAAAATAAAAAATAATAAAAGAAGGGGTGATGGGTCATGTCGTTATTTCATTTCATGAGTATTTCACAGCAAAACCCTGTTATGTTCAACACAAGCATCCGCTCAGTTAGTCCTGCTGATCACAAGTGTTTGGTAGTAAACCTCTGGTTACAGCACATTTTCCCTGGCAAACATAATCTCATTCAAGTTAAGTACATACAGTAATGGCTTGGTAATTTACCTGGGCATGTATGTAGCTTTTCCTTGACAGCAAATTCTCTCTGACATTGACATTGTTCCAGCAGCAGCGGTTTATTTAACACACCATTAATCTCTAACGACAGAAGACCGCACCACAGCAGATGTTTGTTAACAAACTTACTGCTCGGTCCTCCGGTGTTGTTCTTCACCCTCATTGACATGTATTACTGTGACAAGAGGAGGGTCACGAGGCAAACAGTGGATGACTTCAAGAGTTAACTGATACGTTGGGTGCGTTTTGGCAACAGGAAATTGTTTTTGTCAAGATGCAGAATAGTCTGATCCACAGCTAACCCCTGGTATTTGTAGTACATGGATTCATTTGTCAAATTATGCCAAAACTACTGATACTGCACCACATCTGAGTGTGTGGTCATCAGTATGCTAATGTTCAACGATGCAGTGAAACAATCCAATTATTGAATGATGGCTACTGTACATCAGCTCTCTTATTGAATATGTGTGCAATTAATGAGTGCAGAGCAACCAGAATACTGACGCTTAGTAAATTAACACTTTGGTAAACTTAGACTGACAAAAAAAAAGGATTGTCTCCACTCAGAATATGAACAACTGAAAGGATGAGCACATGTCAAAGGATTATTGTACTATTATGTCTATCATTTTTCTCTTTTCTCTTTTCTAAAGCAGCAGGACAGTGTGAAAAGACATAATACAGAGCACTTCATGGCCTTAGCCATTGAAATAGAATATCTTTTTGTACTGAATGCTGGTGAGTGGGTGTGAGGGCAACAAACTGCAGGAAAGTAAAGGGAGAAGAAACAGGCAGAGTTTACCCTTAGGGCTCATGAGGTAAGGACACTTAACTCATCGCATGCATTGCCATAGTCAACATGATTTTTATATCAGCTCTATGCTTTAAAAACAAAATGAATAAATCATCTCATTTTCACAAATATAAATATATTTTATGTTTAGTATATACAATAATGATTTGCCATCATCAACAACATTAGTATTGAAGGGAGAGAAAAAAGCATGTCAGTAAACTCTTGCTAATGGATACAGACACTGCAAAGACAGCCATGATTGATTGGCGTGCTGAAGCACTCTCTCTGAAGACGAAGCGAGATGATAGTAGTTTTATTGAGAAGGCTGGTGGTGTGGCTGCGCCGTGCCATGCCGCAGTCTACTAGTCCTGAGAGCTACGAGATTCACTGTCCTCCTCCAGCTCCCATTCAAAGTTCTGGCCGGTCATTTGGTAGAACATCATGTTAAAGGGTTTGTAGAACTTGTGAAGCCGCCGAATGACGTCCGGGTCTATTTTAGGGTGAGTTCTCCCTTTAGACTTACCGAGGCATCTGGGAGTGCTGCTGTCCTCTGGCTTCTTCAGACACGGAAATCCCTTAGTTTTATTGAAGTAAAAGTGTTTGTCTGTGACGATCCGTTTTAGTCCCAAGAAGTCCTGCACTTTGGCCATCTCACCAGCGGGATCCACAATGAGCCTTTCCCCGCTGACAAAGTGCATTTGGGAAAGAGGGAAATACTGCATCCAGCTCTCCAAATGGAGCGCGTAAATTCCTATACGTAACGCACTCCATGAGGCGTCTATAAGACCCAGCGTCCGGTTCTTAAAAGCCAGAACCTCAAAGGTGGGGATCTCAGGTTTCTTGGACAAAGTCTGTGTGTAGTCTGAAATGGCTCTGGTGACAGGATTACGCACCACAATAATAAGCTTGATGTCCCTGGCCATGGAGTGGATGCGCTTTGGGGCATGGTTAGTCACAAAGTAGCTGGGTGTCTTCTCCATGGTGATCTGCCCCTCCAGCGTTGAAGGCATCAGGTCTCTGGGAACACAAACAGGAGAAGAGAAAAAAGCAGCTTAGCACAGTATTATCCTCAACACCTCTTGCAGTGTAAATGAAATACCCAAGGACACAGTGCAAGCAAATTTGGTACATTTATTAAGCAGTACATTATTTGAAATTACAAGTGAAAATAGCTGTTATTATCACTGGACATTATGTTGTGAGGAGAAACATACAGCTAATTACATCCATGGAGTAATATGCGAGAGATAAAAGAAAGAAGATCAAACGGCAGGCAAGCAAGTATGCTCATTGCTTAATTGACTCCATCTGTGTTACTCCAGGAGCTGTTTTGGAACTTTAATAATGAGTTCGCTGCATATCATTAATACTGGGGTGCCTGGGGTATTGTTTTGTCATACATTTATTATGCATGCAAGGCTCACACTCTGTGCAGGCAGTTTTATTTCTTATGCACATGCACTTCCAATGCAGTGGGTGCAGGCAGCTCTTTTCTTCTCTCTGTACTACGTTTAAGGTTAGGGGCTGTTCATTGAAGGCAGCAGTGATTAATTATCAGATTCAAGGTGATAATTTGTAGTACAATAGAAATGTCCCCGACTTGAAAAATTTACCCCGGGAATAACGGAAAGCCATTTGCCATTGCCACAAATATTATGCTCAACTTAGTCTGTGGAAATGAGTTGTAGGATATGACACTGCAGAGGCAAGTATATCATACGCACAGGAGCAAGTCTTGTTTCTACAGTTTCTATTTTTGTATCAATAATAAAGCATAGCATTTGCCTCAAGCAAATCCTTATCAAATGTTTACTCTGATGTTAATTCCAATCCGTGCTGTTTTCTTTGTTTGTAGGCTATGTGATTCAGTGCTAAATTGGTACATTAAATCCTCTGTGAGACACGTCGTTTATTTAACTACTAACAAATACTAGCACAGGAGCTCCACAATATAATGTAAAGTGAAGCAGAATCCAAGCGTACACACTGTTTTGGCCTCCCCAAACTAAGTAATATTTGCTTGGAAATTAATGTATAAACAGCCTACCAAAATCCAAATTATTCTATCTGGGGACTCACAGAGTTAGTGCAGAAGAATTCTCCATAAATTCTTGGATAAAAGCTATTTCCTTCTCCCTGCAATATCTTTTCCATTAGGCTGCCCTGCACCCCAAACCTACAGTTGTAACGATATAGTCACATCAATCATTTGCATCTTGGACATATTCTAAATTAACTGTTCTCCAGCAAAGAATCCAATTTACTCTGCAAAACATAAGAGCTGTTATGCACATATCGACCACCCTCACACACACATATGCACCCATGGATACTGGGCTGAAAGTCTCACAAGTGGCCTGGTAATTGCATCTCAGTAACAGTATTGCCTTCCTGATGGGTAATTTCCCTCCGGATTATGTTTGTCTCTTGACAGTATAGAACTGTGGTTACTTCTGGGCCTGTAATGGGATATTAAGCATATCTACAGATAGCATAGTGACTTGAAAGAGTATTAGTTTTCATTATATTCCATCACTTTTCACACTTCCTCCTTTACAGTAATGAATGGCTAAAGATTTTTGTAACCTTTCAAGGACTTCAACTCTGTCTGCCATTTAACTAAACTCCAAAGTACAGTAGGTGGTCTGAGGGTGCAGCATCACCACGTAGGTAATAAAAAAGAGCTCAAATATACCACGGAAAATCACCTTGAAACAACCGGTATCCTACTGTATGGACATGAGCTGCAGTGTCTCACTGGTAATATGCTGTGCATCTTTGGAGCATATCCAATTGACAGGACAGATGTACAATGTTCAAGGTTACCTTTTTGAAGGCGTGCACATAACAAGCTATTGTCCTCATTGCGCTCAACGCTAATCATCATACACTTAATTATAAAACAATGGAAACTGCACAAGCCAAACGCTTTGTTATGTTACTGAGGCTCCATTTTGATTGGGAATCAGTCATGGATCATGTACGTCTAAAATGTCAGTGGGACGGCGAGGCGGGACGGAAATCAAAATGCTGATAAACAAGCTAATTTCTCTGCATGGCAAATGACTCCTCTGGCCTTGCAATCTAGTGGAACTGGAGTAAACAAGAGCAAACTGTTAACTTTTTCTTTTTCTCTGCATCAGCTGCACAGCTTAACACAGGTCATTCAGGTGGGTAGGTAACTAAAATCCATAGCGCTAAAGAGGCCCTGTGAACCATCTGCTGTTTACTGCCTCAGACCGAGGACATACCACTTAACATTTACTTTCTCGCATTTCAACACATGTCCAAAGCTTTATTTACATAGAAGACAGAAGTGTGGTGATAAAGGTGCCTCGCGCTTGGAGCGTTGAGTAACATTTAATGATCTCTACTCCGAGAGGCATGCTACAGTGTGCCTGCAAGAGAATTACCTTTGTTGCATTGAGAGATATAACAGATGCAAGTAAATAATATACAGACTAATAGCAGCTCATGCAGAATGTGACTCTGTGATACTTCACTGAACAGAAAATAGTTGAGATCCATTACATTTTCCTGGAAAACATCTGAATGCAGTCTCATTACCATTCTATAATTCATAAAAATGCTGACAAAATCCCTTACAAACAGATCCATTTAATATAGCTAAAACATTATAGAGTCAGACAAATAAATAATGAAGGAGAAAATCAACCTTTGAAAATTTCGCATTGTGGTTGTGTACTATAACTTAGGAAGGAAATCCATTTCACACCCACTCCACATGAAATTCAGATCCGGAGCATGTCCAGTCGTCTCTAAAGGTTGATTCATCATTCAGAACGTGCAGTATACCAAATCACCGCAAATCTTTGTTTGTTAAGACAGAAACTAATCTTCGCAGATAATCACAACTCTTCATGCCTGAACGCCCACCGCAAAAGTGCTCTGGAACATGCCCAAGCATTTAACTCAATGTTTCATTATGTTCTGTCAAACTAGTGCACGGGGAATATTTTGAGGCATGATGAGGTGAGGGATCACGCTAATTTACATTCACAGATACTAATAGGTCCAAGCTGTTTCTGGAGGAATAGCTCTAGTTTCTCCAGAGAATCTGAGTTCTTTCTAATAAACTCTGGCAGAGAAATAAAAGCTCCCCAAGTCTCTCATTTGGATTGATCACGGCTCTGCTGCAGAGTATCAATCCGCCAAGTTTCCTCCATGTCATGTCAAATACAATCAATTATTCTAAAGGAGTCCACTCATAATAAGCTCCTGAGTCACATTTTGGAGACAGCACCAGTGATGTGGACAGACTTCTGTGATCCTCGAAATAATTCCTAAGAAATATTATGATGATACTGAGGCGTGAACTGGAAATATCTAATTTTCTTTGTTTTCTGTCAATATTGACCCAGTGACAGGGACTAATCCCTCTCTTGCAGGAATCTTTGCCCTTTGCGGAGGAAATATAAAGCTACAGTCAATTTAATACACAGTATTTTCAGAAAAACAAGTCATTTTAAGTATCATGGCATTTCCTTAATAAACCAGCACCTTAACTGTGAGTGCAAGCAGATAATAGAAAGTTAAGGAAAGGTAATTGTATTGAGTTGTTACTCCGAGTCCGATTGCAAATGTCAATTGAGGGTGTAAGCGGCTATTCATCAACAACAGTCAGTCAGGACATTTAAAGTGAGAGATACTGTGGTCAGTTTGCAATGAATAATTCCATTATTACACCGTGAGTGACATGTTTGTGATTACAGCACACACAAAGAACAAAGGCACTGGTTTCCTGAGAGGTGGAGAGAGAAAAAATGAGGTTGGTCAAATGAGTCATTTTTCTCTCTCAACAAGTGGATGCGTACATGTTTGGCACACATAAAAAAAAAAAAAAAAAAAAAAACAAGCCTACAGGCCACAGCAAAGGGTCTTAGTGGGTCTGTTATGGAGTGGGAGGCATTGTTTTGTCACGGTTAAGGTGCAACTTTTAGGAGGCAAACAAATACACAGTACGCTGCCATTCTCAGTGATCGGATCAGGCTCAAGTAATGGTGAAGAGTTTGCTTTGTTTATTGTTGTTCTAAACCTGAATCTGACCTCGAGTGTAGAGGAAGGATCCTTGAGGTGGGCTCGCCTTGATGCTATATTGGAAATAATTATGTAACATACATAGACCTATGGTTCAATTGTGGGTTTTTTTTTTTACATGAACATTCTTTTCTGCTAGTGTCAGTCAGAGAAATGTGAAAAACTGACTTTTGAATTTATACACTGTACCTATAATGGCACTGTGGTGGAAACTATAAAGGCACCTCGCCCTGACAATATACTTCATATTCTTCACACATTTATTCACAAACCAGTCCTTTTTTTCTTTTTCTTTTTATGGTTCCTGCTGAATCATTTATCCAGTACCTATTTCTTTGGTTACTTGCAAGTCCTCCAAACTAAATGACAAAATACTCTCTGTTGCCAGTATATTAGGTACACATATAGCTCAAACTACTGCAGTCTAATACAACATCTAACAATGTTCAGTTTGGTTGAAGCTGTTTCAGAGAGGACATTTTTGTGGTCATTGTGGAGGTTGTAGTTTGCGGTGCTGTTGAATTGTATTGCATCATACTGAGAGGTGTTTCTAGTATTTTGTCCACCTTGTTAACATCGAAGAGCATTAACATTCTCCTGCCACTTCTGCCTTCGACTTGACAGAACAATCGCATATTTGCATTTCTATAAGAGGTTCCTGTCAGGTAAATGCATCTTAAAGGCCCTGGAGACTCATTTTCTCTATTACCTCCTCACTGTGAGTGATAAACATAAACTTTTCTGTCAAAGTTTGAACCATTTTGGTGATTTCACATGAGAGATTGCTGCTTTTTTTGGGGGGGGGGCGTCTTCTGGCTGGTTTGAAGTGGGCTGGCTCAATTAAACAAATATGATGTGACTTACTTCGGTGCACCAAATTTAGGATTTAGCAAATATTTGAGTCAGAATCTAATGGGTAGTTTTTTTGGTTACAGTGAAATAATAATCATAATAATAAT